TGTTGCTTCTCAGCTAGATGGCTGCTTGTTTAGCTTCAAGCCTTCAAGACTCCAGATGCTATATCTTTTAATAGCTGTGCACCATTAGCTTTCTTCACCACATTTGCTTATGTACCCATTTTGTCTTCAGTGATCGTGTCGGGAAGGTAAGCATCACAGAATGCCACGTTATTAGAAAAAAGTTTTCTTGCATTGAGGGAATACTTGAGTAGAGGCCCAATGTCGGTCTGTTTCCTTAATACTTAACATATAAATATATGTACATAGGCCTATATCCCTATTGTTATATGTATTAATCTATTTACATATGTACATGTCTATATTTATACCTCTATAAATGTCTTTTGGCTCCTAGTTCTTTCCTCTATTTCCTTTTACTTTCCTCCTGCCCCACTATCCTGTTCAACCTTCATTCGACTCTCAGTACTTCCTCTTGGCTACATTGCACTTGATGGAACCCCATCAGGCATTCTATGCCGTCCTCACCATTGATTTTAGATTTCTGGTTGTTCCCTTGTCCCTGGATTTGTTGGATTCCCCCTCCCTTTCCTTCACTGCCCCCTATCCCATGTCTCCGCCTTCCCCCAAGCCCCCAAAACTTCGGTCCCATTGTTTTCTCCTCAGGATTGTTTATCTTGCTTATCTTATGTAGATAGGCATGAAAAAAAAAAAAGACAGAAAGAAAGAAGAACAAAAGGGGCCTCTAACTAGTTACAGGCTTGTCTGCTGACTTTATGTATGTTTTCTGATGAGTCTGATGAGGTGCCAAGTCCTGCTCTCCGAGTCTGGTCTGTTTTCGGGATTCCTCAGGGACTTTGTTGCTTTGCTCCCCTTGCTGCCCCACTCAGTGTTTTGTTTGGACTGATGATATTGAGCTTCTCCACTGTCCCTGCCCACTGTGACAGTCTTTCTGATTCCTGTGTATGCCATCTGTGGGTATAGTCTCAGTTTACATTGTTTAAAAAAGGGGGTTTTCCATTGACTAAGTTGTTGGTCTGGAAAAAAATCTATCATGTGATAGCTGATGTAATTTCTATTACCAAGGCCATATTTTATAACTACAGATCACTCTTTGTTTCCAACTTTCATCCCAATTACAAGTAATTACCAGTGGAATTTGATTGCCTAATAACCATTCATTAGAGCATTTTGATTGTGTAATGACCAGTTTGTCATACTGTGGTGGCTTGTGTGTTGCTGTGATGTTAAAGATATGTCATTGGTAGTGCAAATGTGAGCAAGGTCACCCCTAGTGGACAGGTCTAAGCAGGACTGTCAGACCAAGACTGACTGACGAGAAGGACCGGATAGTCTACTTCTGAGAACATTGTCCGTGGAATGCTGTCTGATGTAGTGCTGGAAGTGGAGCCCTTCAGGTTAGAGGTCACTGAAAATACAGCTGGGGATGAGCTACCTCCCCAAAAGGGAGTCTACTTCATGATGTGGATGTCTTAAAGCCTTCCCGACCTTCGTTTGCTGAGGAAGCCCAACTCCAAATGAGAAGAAACAGCTGCAAACACTGATTAGTATTTAGTACTTGAAATATACAGAGTATGAGTCTAGGAAAATTGGGTGTTGTCAAAAATGAAATGCAATGCTGTCAGTGGCAGGAAAATCTTATGCCTAAAAGGAAAACCAGCGAATATGAGTATTCTTCAAAGTTACTTACCAACTACCAATGTCAAAGATGTAGAAATTGAAGCTTTTTTTAAACCAATTTTTGCAATTTGAAATGGATTGTAAATTATACTTTTGCATAGACACATATTTTCATATGCCTTTGGTAATTAGCTAGAAGAATTGTTTTTTGATAAATGCATAATTAACTTTACAAGGACCTGCCATATAAGAGGCACTTTTAAGAAGTTTGTGAACAATTTCCATCATCCATTAATCCCCTGATCTGTATGTATATATATTTTAAAAAGTAACATTCTTTTAAAGAGAAGCTGTCCTATTTTATATTTCTACTATGAATGCATGAAATTTGCAATTGTTCCATATCTTTGTCTACTCCTGGCTTGTCAGTCTTTTGAAATGTAGCCATTCTAATACAGTCGTATTTCACTGGGGTTAATTTCCATTTGTGTGACGACCAGTGATGTTGAACATTTTCTGTATTGACCTTTCTGAAATATCTGGTTAAGTCCTTTGCCCACCTTTAAAACTGACTTGCTTGTTATACTATTGAGTTGCAAGAACCACATATATGTTCCACATAAAAAACCTTGATTAGATACATGGTTTGAAAATTTGTCTCCCAGTCTTTGGTTTGCCTTTTAGGTTTTAAAACTAGGTTTTTTGAATAAGAAATTATCTTGATGAACTTCACTTAATAAATTTATCGTAATTAAAAAAAAATTTTGGCATTCTGTTTAAGTAATGTTTGCCTAACTACCTGCCACAAGGTTTTCCTCCTTTAAGGCAGAGCGTAGGCTTGGTTGAGTCTTTGATTACCTGTGAGGTGAGGTCTGTGTAGGGTGTGCTCCTTTTCACTCTTCTTCAGTAATTCCAGTTACACATACATTTGGCTTTTTAACATTCTCTAACTGGTCTGCCAGGTTCTTTAAAAAATGAAGTTTTCTTTCTGCTTTGCACCTTGCAGAATTCCCACTGTTCTCAATTCGTGCTCATTTGCTTTTTCCTGTCATGTGAATTTGGCTGTAAGATCCTTCCAGTCTATTTTTTAAGTTTAGAAACTGTCCTTTTTCAGTTCTAGAGTTTCCATCTGGTGTTTATCATTGTTTGTTTCTTTGCTGAGACCTCACGTTACTGTTTTACTCCTACTTCTCACATGCAGCAAACACCAGTTGTTTGGCCTGAGGAAATAATCAGGTAATTAAGTATACAGCCACTGTGAAATCCTTGGTTGTTCCAGCATTTGGTTCAACTAGGGTCAAACACTAGTGATTTTCCCTTTAAGAATGTGCACCATTTTCTGGATGGTTTTCATAGTAAGTATGCAAAATTTACATTCTAGACATTACTAGAGGCTGCTAGGTGGTACAAATGGTCTGTGCTTGGCAAATCACCTAAAGATTGACAATTGGAATCCCCCCAGCAATTTGCTTCAGAAGGTTGATCCAAGAAAATCCTATGAAGCAGTTTTACTCTAACACGTGGGTCACCATGAGCCATAATAACTGGGTTTGATTTGGAGGTTCTATTTTTTAAACATTACGAACATTTATTTGTAGAGATTTAAATTCTGTAATTTTCTTTGATTATGGGAAAATGGTAACAACAACAAGTTGGAGGCGCTATGTAATGTTGTAGTTAATAGAGGGCTCATGTGTCTGTTGGCTTATGTATTCAAACTTTCCAGCTACCTCTCATGTTCCTCACCTGCAAATGGGGATAAGATGACATGATACAGGTAGTCCTTGATTTATGATGTATGTGAGTTATGACTCGTACAACCATCTATTGTTTTTTTCTTTTGCATTTTATCATTAGTAATATGTTGATGCAGGTAATTTGCTGAGCTCTTCTCCTACATTGGGAAACAGATGCTCAATTTTATGGTTACTCTTCAGAGTGCTGCCTGATTTACAAAGATACTGATAATAAAAGGCTTGATAGTGAAAACTTAGAAAAACAAAAACAAAAACAGAAGCATTTGACTTACACCAGAATCAACCCACGATGGCGCCGTTGGGGTGGAACCCTCTCATAAATCAGGGCTCTCTGGATAATGGAACCTGTTGCCTTCAAGTCGGTCCCGACTCATGAATACCCCCATGTATTACAAAGGAGAGCGGCTCCAAGGATTTTTCCTGGTTTAATCTTTATGGACGCAGGTAGCCAGGCCTTTGTGCTGCAGCCCCAGGAGATGGGGTTGAATTGCTGATCTTTGGTGATTAGTTGAGTGCACCCGGTGTGCTTGACTCAGGCACCTCAACATGCTGAGAGTGTTGCTTAGTAGCTTATTGCTGGTGTAATTTGGAGGATTAAATAATATACTATAAAGCACTTAGCCAGGCCCTGGCTCATACATAGTGCTCATTAAGAGCTTATTTTTATGACTACACAGCTTTGGCAGGGAGGGGAGTTCTATTCAAGATTTTGAGCTAATGAGTGACACAGAGCTGTTTACCAAAACCCTAGAAAGGAATATTTCAGCTTCCTGAGGTTACTACACATAGAAATGAACATTTTAATGTTTGAGCCAAGAAAAACAATAAAGCCGGTTATACGTTCTTCAGATTCATTGCTGACCGGAGAAGACTCTTGCCAGGGATTATGTAGAGGCTGAGTCAAGTTTAGAGGCATAGGGGCAGGTTTTCTGCCTAGCTGCATGCAGGGCTGGGTTGGGAGAGTCCATTTAAGGGGCTGGGGCCATGAAATATTAAAGTGCTTGTCTTTGTTGCCGGGAGGAGATATTGAGGAAATCCAATCCAATGCTTCACTTTGTCCATGAAGAATCTAGGACGATGGTTTTCATAAAATCACACAGCTCGTTAGGAGCAGAGACAAGTCGAACCAGTTCTGAAAGCAGGGCAGTGCAGCCGTGCACTCTGCCTTGGTAGGTGACCTTCTTTGATTTCTAGATCGGTAGCCTCTGAGGGAGCCCTAGTGACGCTGCGTGTTAAGTGTTGGGCTGCTAGCTGCTGGGTCGGCAGTTCATACCCACCAGGCTGTCCTCCCTAGAAGGATGAGGCTGTCGGTTCCTGCCAAGATGGACGGCTTCAGAAAACCACTCGTAGGGCCGCTGTGAGTTGGAATAGACTTGGAGGCAATGGTTTTGAGCTCTTTTAAACCACCTTTGAAATGCTGCCTCCACTTTTTACTTTGCTCTTCAAGTACAGAATGCTTCTGCACTAAATCTCTGAGCCCACGGGCAAGTGTTGTTTTATTTTAACCCACACTTCAGAAAAAAATCACTGCAATATTTGTAGGTTCTCGGAAAGGTTACAGATCTCAGCTTTCTATGCAGGGCGGTGCATTCACATTGGTGTGACTTTCCCGTGCTTAAAAGAGTCTTCTCTTTTCTTTAACAGTTGGCCAAATTCCGTAGCCTCCTGTGTACAGCCGAGGGGGAGGCAGCCGCGTTTTTGCTCAGCAATCACCGTCCACCACAGCCTCTGAAGGGCCGCAAAGTGAGGGCCTCCTTCCATTGAAAGTGGCCGTCACAGTGAATGTCCCCAAACCTGACTGAGGAGCGGCCGCCTAAAGGAAAACACAGCACAACAGCCGCTCACTGCTTCGCCCTAGAGCCCTCATCAATGAGCTGACTTACATGCTGCTACCCTGTTTCCCCGAAAATAAGACAGTGTCTTATATTAATTTTTGCTCCAAAAGATGCGCTAGGTCTTATTTTCAGGGGATGTCTTATTTTTCCACGAAGAAGAATACGGTACACATTTATTTCAGGTGAACAGATTTTAACATTGGTAAAGCGGGACACCATTGATAAAACTCATATCCTGGTGGAATAGCCACACGGCAGCCGAAAACTGTCTACCCTAGCTTGGCGTGCATTCTTTCCAAAAATCGGGACTTTTTTAAAACGCCGCCGGACGTGGGGAAAATTGTTAAAAATTGGGACTATCCCGCCAAAAGCGGGACGTCTGGTCACCTTACATTTATTGTTTATTGTTTTATTAAAAGAGACCTCGCACTTCCAGTCTGCTCCGGCTGCGTTGCGGCCAACAGTGGGCTGCTCGGCGGCGCCTGCCGCTATGGCCCAGAGTCCAGAGGTAAGGTAGCTTCGGAGGGTCTTATTTTCGGGGGGATGCTTTATATTCCAGTGAGAGGCAAAACTGTAAGTAGGTCTTATTTTGGGGGGGTATCTTACTTTCAGGGAAACAGGGTATCAGCTTAAACCCCACAAAGAAAACCAGATCTCCTTAAACACACTCCACTTTTAAGGGCCTTGAAAATGGCGTGACTTGTATCAAAGCCGATGAAATGCTTTCACTTCTACCTGTGTCGCAACAGGGCCCACACGATAAACTCCCGCATGTATTAAACAATTTACCTCGCTAGGGAGACTGAATTGGCTGCGAGTAATGTTTGTTTAAAACTTAATTTTATTTTGGTTTGGGATTGTAATACCTTTTTGAAACATCGAACTCTGTTCAATGCTATTCCAATTCATAAAAAGTAGGTAACTTGTATTGCTTTTTAAAGTTAAATGTTTGTTAGGGTCATTGCATTGCTGATTCTACTTCCATGATACCTGGATCCTGGGGACACTTTGAGGGTTCTGTCAGATCAGAAACAGCTCCGTAATGGCAGTTCAAAGATAGCCCATACTGTGCATACTGAGGCATTCCTTAGGAGACAAATAGCCATTTTCACTTTAATGAGTTATGCTACATAGTGTACTGACTCTATCATGTTAATGGCCAATAATTGACAAGACACAATACTTGTGAACTTATAGAATTAACATGGGTTCAAAGCGATTGCCAGCAATGGGAGAGCTGCCAACTCTGTTACATCTGGCAAGGGTCTCGTTTGGATCATTGTGCTGCCAACTGGAGGGGGAAACCTTTAGGTCATATATAAATATACAATCAATGCAGGAACCTTTCAAACTATCGCTGGTCAAATTCTACAGCCTTCTGTGTACAACTGAGGGTGTCAAAGCCCATGCCCCTTTGTATACAACCCTTAATGTTTTAATTAGTTTAAGTAATTTTTTTGGGATCATTGCCCTGAGAGGTATATAAAATGTATAAATTACCTTTAACAAGCCCACTGTTTCACATCCCTGTGCCTCTCTATATTTTCCTTTTTATTATTAATTGGGATTTAATACATATATCATTCCATAGTTAAGTAATTTTTCAAGGTGGCTCTTGAAATTTATTTTAACGGATTGTACACAACACACCAATTCAGACTGATAGTGACAGTATAGAACACAGTAGAATTGCCGCTTTGGGTTTCCAAGACTTTAAATCTTTAAGGGAGTAGGCAACCTCATCTTTCTCCAGAGAAGCAACTGGTGGGTTTGAACTACTGATCTTGTAGTTTGTAGCTCAATGCATAACCCACTGCACCACCAAGACTCTTCTCTGGTGTTAGGTGCTATTGTCGGCTCTGGCTCATAGCAACTTATGTACCACAGAGGGAAATCCTACCCAATCCTGCACCACCTTCACAATCATTTTACTGTGTCTTACATAGTTCGTTTGGTTTTGGTTAAGGATCAAGGAGAGGGAATTCTTTTGCCTTTTCTGGTTAAAAAGAAGGAGTGACAGTATGCATTCATTTGATCTCTTGCTAACTTCATTTAAGACTTGAATATGTGCTACATACACCACTCTCATCCTCTGAGAAAGTTTATCTGAGTTTCCTTGATTTTGATTTTT